AAGCTGCAATGGTTTTTTACTGATTTTTTTTTTTTAAACAGAGTCTTGCTATATTAGCTAGACTGGTCTCGAACTCTTAGGCTCAAAGCAGTCCTCCCACCTCGACCTCCCAAAGTGCTGGGAGTATAGGCATGAACCACTGCATGGGGAAGTCTTTGTTTTTTTTCTGTCATAGTAAACCTAGCATCATAAAATGAGTTGGAAAGAAAGTCTGTCTTTTCTATTTTCTGAAATAATTTACGCAAGGTTTTTGTTTTTGCTTTTGTCCTTCAGTGTTAGATAGAATTCACCAATAAAGCCATCTGGACCTAGAGTGTTCTCTTTTGGAATATTTAAAATTATAAATTCAGTTTCTTTAATAGATGCAGAGCTATACAGATTTTCTACTTTTTTGTATCACTTTTGATAATTTGTATTTTTTGAGGGATTTCTCCACTTAATCTTGGTTGTTTATAAAGTTGTTCCTCATATTCCCTTACTGTCACTTTAATATATATAGGATTTACTTATCTAACTCCCTGTTAATGAACACTGGAGGGAAATTCATGTGCTGTTGTGATTCGGGTGTTAGAGAGGAAGTGAGTAGATCCTTGTTGAAAAACACAAATCTCCCTCTTACTATTCTATGATTTGTCCAGTGTGATAAACTAGACGTTTCGGCTGACAGGCTCTGAATAGGCTCTTCTAACAATCTTATCTGTAGTTTATTCCAAACTATAGAAACATGTCATTTTCACCATGATTTGTGCGCATATCTCACACACACACACACAAAAATCTGTTTTTGCTCCTTCAGGTCATAATGCAGCAGCAGGATACATTCATCAAACCCATCCTCCAAGTCATCGTAAGTACCCACATACGTTTCATGTCAACTTTTTTACAGCCATAGAATTATAAATGCTGTTCAATAAAGGACAGACAGATTTGTTCACTTTAGGAAATTCCCCCCCATCGTCACAGAAAATAGGCCAGTCTACATTGTAACCCTGAGAGGGGAGCCAGGCTTTTTGAAAAGAACATTATGTTAGCTGCCGAGTTCCACTGTCTTGGAGGCTCAGATCTAAGGCTCGGCCTCGCTGTTTTCCTCCACCTCTGGCACATGACTGTGGTGCTGCTTGCCCTTCTGCCCTTGGGTCTGTCTGGTTCACGTCAGCCTGGTATATGACCTCCAGAAATAGATCTACTATGGACTTGTCTCCTTAAAATTCTTCAGCTAACACATCATTTATTTAAGGGGTTCTCACACTTCAGTGGGAGTTTGAAACAATGGAGGCAGCACGCGGGCTCACGCCTGCACGTTTTCAGGCCGCCGGTCTGATGGGGCTCTCTGCTGCACTCAGTCTAGCTGCCAGTCAGGTGGAGGCTGTGGGTACAGGTTTCACTTCCTATGGAGACCTGCTTCTGCTCTCTTTCAAGTGAGGATAAAGGTGCGGTTCTGCCACCTCATCGTCACGTGCACATGTCACTTATGTCTCTCTGTGTCTATCTCCACCCCAGTTGTTAGCCCCTCAGGACAAGGGTTCTTTTTGTTCACTTTGTATTGTTAGCATGTTTACTGCACAGCACCTTGTGTATTCCAGGTACCTGGTTATTTTTTTTTTTGGTAATTGATTTTCAGCCAAATTGGAGTCAGGGCTGAGAACACAGAGTATAGGCAGCTCGTTTTACTTCCCTCTGTATTGCGTTTAATAATGTTAGTGGAGAGAGGTTAGTGGGAAAATCGTCAAATCCAATTTTCTTTTACATGGATTTAGGTGTCAAGAGAATGGGCAAACAGTTCAGTTAGTGTTGAGCTAATGGCAAAGCCACTCTCCTGCCACTTAGGTGTACTTATCCCTGGGGACGGGGCAGACATGCTGGCTAATGAATCAAGTTTTCTGTCCTAGAACATCCGTCCCATCACCACAGGGAACAGTCCGCCACGTTATCGACTGCTCATGAGTGATGGAGTGAACACTCTGTCATGTGAGTATGGGGTATCCATCTAGAAACTGGTGAGTGTTGAAGTGGCAAAAGCACACGCAGCCCTTTGGTTGCCATAATTTGGGAGCATTCATGAAGTCCGTGTTTGCCTGGCTGTGTCCTTCATTCAGATGGAATTGCAGCTGGCAGGGATCATTCTAACAGAAGACTGGAGGTGGTGGGAAGCTGCCACTTGGCTTAATTAATTTTCTCTAACTGGTGTTCTATGTTTTCTCTGATTAATTTCCCTAAGGATGATATTGACATTTAGTGCGTATGATGGGTTAGCTGCCCTGTACTTTCCTTTTTTGGAGTTTTATTTCTGTGTTGGAAGCTGGAAAGGAGAGAAAGGAGAGAATTTAAAAATTATTTTGGCCACTTCAACAAATTCACACATTTAAGAGTAGCAGCAAATGTTTAACAGCCAGCAAAATAGATAGTTTTTCACTGTGCAGAGTCTGACCGGTTTTAATTTCAGGGACATTTAAGACATTATTCTTCTTTGCCAGCACAGGTTGAGTAGCTTTCAGATTCTTTAGGCTGCAGGACTTTGGAGGCTAAAGAAATCTCTGCTTTTCAGCTTTCATGTTGGCCACACAGTTGAACACTCTTGTTGAGCAAGGACAATTGGCCAGCAACTGCGTTTGCCAGATTAACCGATTCATTGTGAACACCCTGAAAGACGGAAGGTATGTGGTGTGTTTCTTTCTGTCTTACTGTGTTGTAGAGTGGGAACTGATTTTGAACAGAGAAGTATATCGGTTGCCAGAATTCAATTAGGAGTGAAAAAGACAGTAGTGAGTTTTCACCTAAGAATTTGCAGCTGTTCAGTTAAGAACTCAGGTTGCGGCCGGGTGCAGCGGCTCTCACCTGTCACCCTAGCACTTTGGGAGGCTGAGGCGGGCAGATCACCTGAGATCAGGAGTTTGACAGCAGCCTAACGAATATGGAGAAACCCTGTCTTTACTAAAAAGACAAAATTAGCTGGGCGTGGTGGTGCATGCGCCTATAATCCCAGCTACTCGGGAAGTTGAGGCTGGAGAATCACTTGAACCCGGGAGGCGGAGGTTGCAGAGAGCCGAGATTGTGCCATTGCACTCCAGCCTGGGCAACAAGAGTGAAACTCCATCTCAAAGAAAAAAAAAAAAGAAGAACTCAGGTAGCCGACACATGGCACCAAAGGAAGAGAGATATGAAAAGAAGTTGGAAATTTCAGAGCAGAAGATTAAAGTAGAATGCAGAAATTTTATTATTTCTAGTTTCTTCAGAAGCAATATTTTTAGGATTTCCCCCAAAAGTATCTTATCTTTTTTTGTTTGTTTTTGGTAGAGACAGGGTTTTGCCACGTTGCCCAGGCCGGTCTCGAACTCCTGAGCTCAGGCAGTCTGCCCACCTCGGCCTCCCAGAGTGCTGGGATTACAGGTGTGAGCTGCCACACCTGGGCTCAAAAGAAGTCCCTTATTTTACAGCAGAAAATGACAATTATTTCGTAATCCTGCTTTTTTTTTTTCAATCTTGAATTTTTTATATTAAATGATGTATTTAGCCAATATAGAATATGTGGAACCACATGTGGTGGCTCACGCCGGTAACCCCAGCACTTTAGGGGGCTAAAGTGAGAGGATTGCTTGAGGCCAGGAGTTTGAGACCAGCCTCAGCGACATAGCCAGACCCTGTCTCTACAAAAAAAAATTTTTATAATAAATTAACCAGGTGTGGTGGCACACGCTACAGTCCTGGCTACTTGGGGGGCTGAAGTGAGAGGATTGTTTGAGGCCAGGAGGTTGAGACTGCAGTGAGCTGTGATCGTACCACTGCACTCCAGCCTGGGCAACAGAGAGAAAGGCCATCTCTGAAAAAATAAAACAAACTTAGAAAAAGAATATGTCGGACATAGGTTGCTGCATGCTAGAAACACAATGATGAACAGAACCGTTATTGCTAAAAAATGACTTAGTTTAGGCAAGGTGCAGTGGCTCACACCTGTAATCCCAACACTTTGAAGGCCGTGTAGGGAGGATCACTTGAGCCCAGGAGTTTGCGACCAGCCTGGGCAACATAGTGAGACCTTGTCTCTACAAGAAAAAAAAAAAGTTAGCCGGGCGAGGTGGCACATGCCTGTGGTCCCATCTACTTGGAAGACTGAGGAGAGAAATGCCTGAGCCCTGGAAGGTCAAGGCTGCAATGAACTTGGATTGTGCCACCGTACTCCAGACTGGGCAATAGAGGAAGGCCCTGTCTCAAAAAAAAAAAGCAAAACATCAACAACAACCACAAAAGATAAAAAACTATCAACAGTACTAAGAGGCTTAAGTAATTGGTTTTTAAAAATTCTGTTACACTGATTTTAGGACTCTTGACATTTTCTCCAGCTGTTCTTTTTTCCCACCTCTTTAATTTTGATGTCTGGCTGGGTTGGATTTCACTCAAGAGCTGTTTTCTGGAATGGCTCTTTAGTACTGTATTCCCCATTATCAGCTTATTGGCCTTTATGCTAGAATGACAGCTTTGCCTGGCTGGCTGTCCTTAGGTCATGTGGCTTTACCTCGGAATCTTGTCTTCTGGCATTGCATGTGGATCTGGAGAAGTCTTAAGGCCAGCTTGATTCAATTTCCTCCCTTGTGGAAGGCTTTTCTTTTTTCTTTTCTTTCTTTTTTGTTTTAGGTCTCACTCTGCTTGCCCAGGCTGGAGTGCGGTGGCACTATGAGGACTGACTGCAGCCTGTGCCTCGTGGGCGCAGGTGATTCTCCTACCCAGCCTCCCAAGTAGCTGGGACCGCAGGCGCACACCACTGTGGCCGGCTGATAAGCTTTGCTTTTTCTACCTATATTCCTGAAGATTTGTTTCTTTATGCCTCAGCTTCAGTACTTAACCAGGCTATGTCTCAATCACAATTGTCCATATTCTTTTTTGTTTCAATTTTCCTGGCATGTTGTATGCTCTTTCAGTCTGCAGATTCAGTTATTTTAAAGAAATTTTTCTCTGTGTTGTTCCTTAATGCTGTTTTCTATTTCATTTATTGAGTTCCAGTTTTTACATACGTTGTAGATAACTTTGGCCTCCGTGTAGGTCTTTAGTTCACTTTAACCTTTTTCTAAATGCACGCATTGGCTTGCCTCAGGGTTTTCCAACATAAGAGTACGGTTTTTAGCTTTCTTCTGTTCCTCAATCTTCATAAATTATTAGATGTATAATAGTATTGATTTTGTTCTGATTTTTTCTTTATATATATATGTATAGAGAGAGAGAGACGGAGTTGCCCCATGTTGGTCAGGCTGGTCTCGAACTCCCAACCTCAGGTGATCCACCCACCTCAGCCTCCCAGAATGCTGGAATTAAAGGTGTAAGCCACCATTCCGGCCTGTTCTGATTTTTTTTTTTTTTTTTTTTTTTTTTTTTTTTTTTTTTTTTTTTTTTTTTTTTTTTTTTTTTTTTTTTTTTTTTTTTTTTTTTTTTTTTTTTGAGACGGAGTTTCGCTCTTGTTACCCAGGCTGGAGTGCAATGGCGCGATCTCGGCTCACCGCAACCTGCGCCTCTGGGGTTCAGGCAATTCTTCTGCCTCAGCCTCCTGAGTAGCTGGGATTACAGGCATGCACCACCATGCCCAGCTAATTTTTTGTATTTTTAGTAGAGTCGGGGTTTCACCATGTTGAAGGATGGTCTTGATCTCCTAACCTCATGATCCACCCGCCTTGGCCTCCCAAAGTGCTGGGATTACAGGCCTGATTTTTTCTTAGCTGCTCAAACTCCCTTTTCTTCATCTCTTGTTTGAGCTCATCTTTTGGCTGTTACTTTGTTACATTTATAAAGTACTTACATTGCAAATCTCTTGAGAAGGGCGGCTCTTTTCCTTGGCTTCTGCTTTCTTCTAGAGTGGGTTCTTGAATGGCTGCTGCCTCCCCATCCTTTCCCTTTCACGCATTGTTGTGTGTTGTATCGTTGCTTTAACGTCCCTTTTTATTTTGCTCCTGCTTAATGTGGATGGTCCTGTCCAGACTTTGTATTTGCTCCAACGGTCGTCTGAGCTCCATACATCTTGCCAGCCTTCTCACTTGGGACCTTTTGTCTTCCACTCCAGGCTACCTTTGAGTGCTTAAGTGGAGCTTTCCATGGTGTTTGTGTCCTCCAAGGCATGGCTGTGGGACAGCGGGCAGAGCCTTGCTGGGATTCAGTGCAGTCCTTGCTGGGAAGCTCTTCAAGCCGTTTCCCCAGTCAAGGATGCAGTTCCCCTCCCATGGGCTCTGCCTGACTTCCCACCTCAGCTTGGTGGCGTGTCTAGTATTCTTCTGTGCCTCTGCTGAGAGCCCATGTGTATGGCTGGGCTTATTTACTCCTTGCTTAAAAGGTGATCATGTAGGTTTATTCTAAACAGGACTTCAGCAGTCATCCTTGTACGTTTATCTTGACGTGGTTATGCTTTTATTTCTGAAGAATAGATTATTAGAATTTGTGTTGTGGGGTCAAAGGACAGCTGTGGAAAGTATACCAATTATACTCAAATTTTATGTAAGAGTGTCTGTTTCTGAATGAACAAATCCACAGAAACAAATGCAATTATTGGTTCCCAGTGGCGGGAGAGTGTGGAGCGGCTGCCACCGTGTGCAGGGTTTCTTTTGGGGATGACAAAAATGTTGTAGAGTTAGGCAGTGGTGATGCTTGCGTAACTGTGGATATATAGAACCCATGGGATTGTACACTTTGAAAGGGTGAATTCATTATGGTTCATGAATGATACCTCAATATAAACATGTTATTTAAAAAGAAGTGTTTTCCATTAAGCTTGTCAACATACTGTGTATTAGCAATTTAAAAAAAAATAATTATTGGCCGGGCACAGTGGCTCACGCCTGTAATCCCAGCATATTGGGAGGCTGAGGCGAGCAGATCACCTGAGGTCAGGAGTTTGAGACCAGCCTGGTCAATGTGGTGAAACCCCGTCTCTACTAAAAATACAAAAATTAGCTGGGCGTGGTGGCACTGGGGAGGCTGCAGTAGGAGAATTGCTTGAACCCAGGAGGCAGAGGTTGCAGTGAGCCGAGATCATGCCATTGCACTCCAGCCTGGGTGACAAGAGTGAAACTGTCTAAAAAAATAAAACATAATAATAATTATTATTTTTACCAAATAATTGACCTCAAGGAGATCAATTATTTTAATTTAAATTTCCCTGTTAGGTCAGGTGTCTTTTCATGTATTTAGTAGCTGATAACAGTTCTTCTCTGTATAGCTTATTATATACTTTGGTGGTGCATGCCTGTGATCCCAGCTACTCAGGAGGCTGAGGTGGAAGGATTGCTTGAGTCCCACAAGTCAAGGCTGTAGTGAGCTATGATAGTGCCACTGCATTCTAGCTCGGGTGACAAGGCCTTGTTGCAAAAATAAATAAATAAGCAAAAGCTTTGTTGGAATGCAAATGACTGTCTTAATTTTAGATAGTATTTGATATTAAGTCTTTTCATCCAAGAAAGTAGTATGTGTCCATATGGTTTCAGATTTTCTAGGTACACAATTGCATTATCTTCTTATTCTAATATTTGTCATTTTGTTTCTTGTATTTTTAAAATCTAACAGTATTGGCCGGGCTCAGTGGCTCACACCTGTAATCCCAGCACTTTGGGAGGCCAAGGCGGGCGGATCATAAGGTCAGGAGTTCAAGACTAGCCTTACCAACATGGTGAAACCCCATCTCTACTAAAAATACAAAAATTAGCCGGGCGTGGTGGTATACACCTGTAATCCCAGCTACTCGGGAGGCTGAGGCAGGAGAATCACTTGCACGTGGGAGGGAGAGGAGGGAGAGGTTGCGGTGAGCTGAGATTGTGCCACTGCACTCCAGCCTGGGTGACAGAGTGAGACTCTGTCTCAAAAAAAAAAAAATCTTACTGTGTTGACTAGCACCATCAAAACTTTGTTGGACGATGGTAATATCAGCAGTTGCCTTGTTAGTACCCTGATTTAAATAGAAATGCTTTTGGTTTCACTGTTCAGCGTGGTATTTAGCATTCAAAAATACACACTTTACCATGTTCAGGTTTTTTTTTTAAGTTCTCAGGATTTTATCAGAAATGGCTTGTAAATTCTTTCAAGCTTTTACTACATCTTGATATGATCATATTTTTTTTTTATCCTTTTACACAATGAGCAGTTTTAATAGATTATCTAGGCCAGGCGCAGTGGCTCACACCTGTAATTCCAGCACTTTGGGAGGCTGAGGCGGGTAGATCACTTGAGGCCAGGAGAGACCACCCTGGCCAACATGGAGAAATCCCATCTGTACTAAAAATACAAAAATTAGCTGGGCATGTTGGTGCATGCCTGTAATCCCAGCTACTTGGGAGGCTGAGGCAGGATAATCACTTGAACCTGGGAGGTGGAGGTTGCAGTGAGCCGAGATCGCCCCACTGCACTCCAGCCTGGGCGACAGAGTAAGACTCCATCTCAAAATAAAAAGATTGCCTAATATTCAACTCTTGTTTCGTTCTTGCAATAAATGCTGCCTTAAAAAAAGCCTACACCAGGCTGTTGGCTCATGCCTGTAATCCCAGCACTTTGGGAGGCCAAGGCAGGTGGATCACCTGAGGTTGGGAGTTGGAGACCAGCCTGGCCAAGGTGGTGAAACACTGTCTCCACTAAAAATACAAAAATTAGCAGGGTGTGGTGGCAGGAGCCTGTAATCCCAGCTACTTGGGAGGCTGAGGCAGGAGAATGGCTTGAATGTGGGAGGCAGAGGTTGCAGTGAGTCAGGATTGTGCCACTGCACTCCAACCTGGGCAACAGAGTGAGACTCTTTCAAAAAAAAAAAAAAAAAGATAATCATATTACCTTGTTCATTTTCTTTCTCTTTATTTTTTAAAATCTTTATTCTGGAAAATTTTAAACATCTACAAAAATAGAATACACAGTAGTCTGATGAGTCCCCAGGGAGCCCATCATTCAGATTGGTCCCTGTTACCCAGTTTTGCTTTCTCGCCATGCTTTCCGCATCCGCTCTCTGTAATTTTGAAGGAAGTCTCAGACGCATTATTTCATCCCTAAATATTTTAGTATATATTTTTGGAAGTTAAGAACTCTTAAAAAGACACAATACCATTTCACACCTAAAATAACAAATACCCTGTCAGTGTTGTATTTCTAGCTTTTCGTGTGTGTGTGTGTGTGTGTGTGTGTGTGTGTGTGTGCGCGTGCGCGTGTGTGACAGCAGATTGATGGCTGGTTAAGTCTCTGAATCGTAGGCTCTGCGTCTACCTTGTTTCCTCCCTTATTGTTTATCTGCTGAAGAAACCAGGTCATTTATCCTTCTGCTAGCGCAGTTTACCACAGTCTGGATTTGGCTGATTGCGTCCCTGTAAAGTCATTTAATGTGTCCTTGTCATCTATATTCTCTGTAAGTTGATATTGGTGTATTCTTTTAGTATGCTGCTAGATTCGCCTTGCTGATATTTTATTTAGGATTTATGGGATATTACAGGAGGAAATTAGTTTTAGTGTTTTGTGTGTGTTTTGTCTTAGGTTTTCATATTAGAGTAATACTAAATGATTCATAAGCCTTCTATTTTTATATGTTCTGGAGTGATTTGTATAATTTTGGAAAGTAGTTAAATATCTAGCACTAAGTATCGGATAGTTATTATAGGGAATCCGTCATTTCCAGGAACAGATAATTCCCGGCTTATTTTAGCATAACTCTGATGTGAACCCTGATAAGGGTGGCACAAACCGATTGATTGTGCGTAAAAATCCAAAATACAGCAGTCAGACATTCAAAGTGTAAAGCATGATGAAATTGGGTATATTATTGCTTAAATACTGCTCTAGGTCAGTTTCTTCGTCTCCACTGCCACCAACCTCATTCAGGCCGTTATCATTTCGTCTCTTTGCGTCTCCCTGCCTCCACTTGTGTTCCCATTAAATTCCTTCTTCATGTTTTAGTTCCTTTTAAAGTGCAGACACGATTGTGATATTCTCATCAAGTATGTATTGAGCAACAACGTGGGCCCTTTGCTTCATTAAGCACTGGAGGATACCTGCCTTATTGACAGTACAGTCTAGTAGGAGACAGACAATAATAAAATCATCGCTAATGAACGTATGATTAAGACGGAACAGAGCGTCGTGAAGGAAGGAAATCATGGCTGTAGGAAAGACTGGAGCAAAGCAACCAGATCTAAACTAGAGGTTAAGGAAGTGTCTCTGGAAGTGACGTTTGAGATGAGAGCTAAAAGATGAGTGTGAAGTGAAGCAAAATGTGCATGAACACAACTCTGCACCCTCGGAGCAGCACGGACAAAGGCTTTCTGGCAGGAGGGACCATCACATGTGCGGACCTGAAAGACGGGGATTGCAGAGGGCAGAGGGCAGAGGGTAGGGCAGCAGCAGGGATGCGCTGGAGGGGCGTTAGCAAGGCCAGGCCAGCCATGGCAGAAGTCTTTATTTTTGGCTGAAGGTCATTGGAAATGAAGGTTTCAATCAGAGTTAAAATCAGTCAGAGAACTGTAAGTTCTTAAAAATGGGTCATAGTTATATATTTTAGAACGTCTATTGTCATAATTGGTTTTCACTGGGAAAAAGTCATTCGCTTAGAGAAGTATGTGCTTCTGAAAACAGGCCGTCTCTTTTTATGCCGCATATTCTCATGTTTAGTAATCTAAATTCTTACCGTGTCAGTTGCTCCTTGAAGATATGGTACGTAGCAAGAACACCGCATTTTAATTAAGGAACTAGATGGAAAATGGAAAGCTTGCAATCATAAAAAGCCTTGATAATGATGCAGTGAAAGATTAAGAGAAATATTTATGAAAACAGATGACAAACAGGAAATAGTTTTATCAAAATGATCATTGGGGAAAGCATTTTGAGTAGCTCATCGTTTGAACGGAATTTTTCTAACTTGTTTCTATTTGTCTGCCTTTGCAGGAGAGTAGTTATTTTGATGGAATTAGAAGTTTTGAAATCAGCCGAAGCAGTTGGAGTAAAGATTGGCAATCCAGTGCCCTACAATGAAGGTAAAATAAAATGCTTTTACATAGGTTGTGGCACTCAGTTGAATTCTACCTTATATGTTCGGAATTCTACCTTTTGGATTCAGTTCGACTTGTTCGTGTTAATAAAATGATAGTGATTCAGGGCTCTAGGAGTCAGGTTTTTTCAATACTAAAGAAATGATGTATGAAGAAAGGGCACAATGAGAGAGGAGTGGGCAAACGGAGTGGGCACGGTGGCTCATGCCTGGAATCCCAGCATTTTGGGAGGCCAAGGCAGGTAGATCACTTGCGGTAAGGAAATTGAGACCTGTCTGGCCAACGTGGCAGAACCCTGTCTCTCTTAAAAATACAAAGATTAGTCAGGCAAAGTGGCACACGCCTGTAATCTCAGCTACTCGGGAGTCTGAGGCAGGGCAATTGCTTGAACCCAGGAGGGGGGAATTTCAGTGAGCCAAGATCGCACCACTGCACTCCAGCCTGGGCGACGGAGCAAGACTCTTGTCTCAAAAAATAAGAAAGTAACGGAAAAAGACTCAGTTATAATAGACTAAAAAGAATAAACACCTAGGATATTATCGGATAGCTGTAATATTAATGAGAAATGTGTTTTCCTAAGATGTAACTGATGCACACTTTTGTTTTTAGAAAGTGTGAAGCATGTGGTCTGTATGACTGGCAGCTTTTAGAATTATCTCTGTTTACTGCTAAGCCGTTAGTAAACTCTGAAGGTAGAGATCATGTTTGTTCTAGTGCCTAACTTGTAGCCAGCCTTTAATCAGTTTTTGCAGAAACAAGTTGAATATATAACATTATGTTACTGTGATTATCTCTTATGTTGAAATTACTAATGATTTAATTTTCTTATGAAAATGTATAGAAAAGCACAATGAAATCAGAAAAAAAGTCCATTGTTTCTTCTTTGCATCCTAGAAAGCTGAAAAACTTTCATTATTTTAGGCCAGAGAGACAATTCCAGAGAAAGGCAAAAAGAATCTTCAAATCACTGGCCCCATTGAAGGGAAAGATTGGTTTGCCCTTATGCAAAGTCAAAAAAATAAAATAAAAGCCTCACTTTACACCAAAATAAATCCGAGATGTACTTTTTAAAGTTAGAAAATGAAACCATCAAAAATCAAGAGGAAGAGGCTGCACAGATAGATTGGAATAATTCACAATGAATATTTGATTAAATTGAAATTTTAAAATTACGTGTTAAAAATAGGAAACCAGGCACGGTGCCTCACACCTGTAATCCTGCACTTTAGGAGGCCGAGGTAGGAAAATTGCTTGAGTCCAGGAGGACGGAGCCAGCCTGGGCAACACAGGGAGACCCCATCTCTACAATAAGCTTTTAAAAACAGCCAAGTGTGGTGGCTTACACCTGTAGTCTCAGCTGCTTGGGAGGCTGAGGTGGGGGGATTACTTGAGCCTGGGAGGTTGAGGCTGCAGTGAGCTCTGATTGTGCCGCTGCCTTCCAGCCTGGGGGACACAGCGAGTGTCTGCTGTTCCCCACTGCAAAATTAAAAGTATGTAAACTTAAACTGGGATAAAATATTTGCAACCCATAGGATTGACAAAAAAAAAAAAAAATGCTATCTTTACTATTTATGGAATTTTTTACATATTAAGGAAAAAAGTACTTCAGTAGCAAAGCAGGCATTGGAGAAAAATAGATTGTCCTCTGTAGAAGGAAAACACATGGCTAACATGTTAGAAAAACTCTTCACGCTGGCTGGTGATGTTTGCCTTGTTCCTGATCTCAGGGAGAAAGCATTCAGACTTTCACCATTAAACATCATGTTAACTGTAGGTTCTTCTTAGAGTCTTTTTATCAGAAATAAAGAAGTTTGGCCGGGTGCGGTGGCTCAAGCCTGTAATCCCAGCACTTTGGGAGGCCGAGGCGGGTGGATCACGAGGTCAAGAGATCGAGACCATCCTGGTCAACATAGTGAAACCTCGTCTCTACTAAAAATACAAAAATTAGCTGGGCATGATGGTGCGTGCCTGTAATCCCAGCTACTCGGGAGGCTGAGGCAGGAGAATTGCTTGAACCCAGGAGGCGGAGGTTGCGGTGAGCCGAGATCGCGCCATTGCACTCCAGTCTGGGTAACAAGAACGAAACTCCGTCTCAAAAAAAAAAAAAAAAAAGAAATAAAGAAGTTTATTTGTATTCCTAGTTGCTGAGGGCTTTCATCAGTAATGGATGGTGAGTTTTGTCAAATGCTTTTTCTGTGCTTGTTGATGATCTGATGATGATCATGTGGTCTTCTTTGTTAGTTGGTTAATGTGGTGAGTTACACTGATTGTTGTTTTCTGGTTTTTTTTGAGACAGTCTCACTGTCACCCAGGATGGGATGTGATGCCTTCTCGGCTCACTGCAACTTCTGCCTCCCGGGTTGAAGTGATTCTTGTGCCTGAGCCTCAGAGAAGCTGGGATTACAGGCGTATACTACCATGCCCAGCTAAAATTTTTTTTTGTATTTTTAGTAGAGACCGGGTTTTGCCATCTTGGCCAGGCGGGTCTGAAACTTCTGACCTCAAGTAATCCACTCACCTCGGCCTCCTAAAGTGGTGGGATGACATTGCGCTCACCCACAGTGATTGATTTTTGAGTGTTAAACCAATCTGGGACCTCTGGGTTGAGTCTATGTCGTGATAGATAATGTCTTACTCTTTTTGCATATTGTTGGATTGGATTTACTGAGTCCATTTGATTTGGTTTACTTTGTTTAGAATTTTTGTATCTATATTCATGTGAGATACTTTTCTCCTGTTTTCTTTTCTTGTTGTAACTCTGATTTTGATATCTGAGTAACCCTGACCTTATTGAGTCATTTGCAAAGTGTTTTGTTTTAAATTATCTGCTGCACGTTGTGCAGACTTGGTATTACTTCTTCCTTAGATGCTCATTGAATTCACCAGTGAAACCATCTGGGCCTGATTTTTTTTTCATGGAAAAGTCTTAAACTATAAGTTCAGTTTCTTAATAGAGAGATATAGGGTTATTTAGGCAATCTTTCTTCTTGAGTAGACTTTGGTAGATTATGTGCTTCAAGGAATTTAATCATTTCATTTAAGTTCTTGAATTTATTAGTTTATAGAAATACAAATATTCTAAACACCCCAATTATGAGAAATTATTCGATGGATTAAAAAAATACGTTTCCAGCCAGGTACGATGGCTCACACTTGTAATCCCAACACCTTGGGTGACCAAGGCAAGCCGATTTCTTTAGCTTAGGAGTTCAAGACCAGCCTGTACAACAGGATGAAACCTAGTCTACGAAAAGTACAAAACATTAGCTGGGCCTGGTGGTGCTCCTGCACCTGCGGTCCCAGCTGCTTGAGCCCAGGAGGTGGAGGTTGCAGTAAGCCGAGATGGCGCCCTAGGCAACAGACGGAGACACCATTAAAAACTGTGTGTGTGTGTGTGTGTGTGTGTGTGTGTGTGTTATCCTTTGAGTATCTGTAGAATTTGAGAGTTTTATCAATTTTATTGATCTCAAAGGAACGACTTTTGGTTTTATTGATTTTTCTCATGTTTTATATTCTATTGATTTATGCTTTTGATCTTTAATATTTTTTTCTACTTTGGGTTTTGTGTGTTCTTTTTCTTGTTTCTTAAGGTGGAAACTGAGTTCATTGATTTGAGATCTTTTTTTCTAACATAGGCTTGTAGCATTATAAATCCACCCTTAGCTACTGCTTTAATAGTATCCAGCAAATTTGGATATGTTATATTCTGATTCGTATTCACTTCATAAGACTTTCTTATTTCCCTTTCAGTTTCATCTTTGACATTCTGTTATTTTA